GCGCAGCGACATGAGCCTGAAGAGAGTCCAGCCCTCCCAGCATCACCACCACCACCACCACCATCACCATCACCGCATCAGCAGCTCGTTCTCCGCGGCGCCTTCGTCGGCGCCATCGGCTTCATCGGCAGAGGTTGCGGCGAAGCTCAAAGAGGAGAGATGGAAGCCAAATGGGCATTTCCCAGATGACGAGGGTATGGATGTCACCTACAATTACGATCTGCTATACTTTACATTGGGGTTGAGCGATGCGTTGATTTTATTTGTCAGGACAGTTCCCCCCGCCCACATGGCCTTTAAGGAAGAAAAAAATACTGCTCTGTACTGAGTTGTTTTGCATGTCATTTTTCTTTTTTTTTTTTGCAGACAAGTCTCTCCCGCCTAAACTTGAGCCCTCCGATGCCATTCCCCCTCTGATCCACTCAGACACGGACCCCGAGCCCCCAACCCTCAAACCCATCGACGCCACCCAGGACTGCGACGATAAAACTCTGGCCAACGGCATGACGTTCGTCGGGGACCGAGCAAACCCCCCGCCGTCCCCGCCGCACCTCAACGGCCACTCCCACGACAACCTCGCGGATTCTTTATTCGAGGGCGACGTTAGCGTGGTGGCCACTTCGACTCTGGCCGAGCCGGCGGCCGCCGTCAATCGGCGGACGGCCGTGCTGTTCTGCAAGTCGAAAGCCGCCAGCCCCTGCAAGGCCGCGAAAGGCAGAGACGACGACGACGACGATGGCGGCGACGACATCTGCGGCGCTGCGACCGAACAGAAAGAGAGCGAGGAGGAGGCGGACGGCGACAACACGCAGCTGGCTTCCAAATCCTTCCTGTCGGTGGTGATTCCCAGGCTGGAGACGTTACTTCACAGCAAAAAGAGGAAGCGTCTCGACAGCCACGAGGAGCGCGAGGAGGACGGCGAGTCCCCCGTTAAAAGACTCGACATGGGTAGGATGTTTGTCAACGATAGCGATTGTCTGTACGTCGCGTGGGGGCGCTTTGGGATTTATGTCCGTTTTGTGTCAACTCAGGGCTGTCGAGAGGTTTCCTGGAGGTGGAAGAGGAGAAGGCGCTGGGCCAGCCCAGCAGAGCTATGGAGCCCCGAAGACGCTGCGCCTCCGAGTCGTCCATTTCTTCGTGCAGCAGTCTACCTGGAGGCCCCGGGTAACCCGTCAGCTCACCTTTCATGCATTTGTAGCAAAACCACTAAGTGTTTTGTTTTGTTTTCTTTGATTTTGCACTTGTCTCCAGGACCATTCTCAGTCTTCCGAAGTGCGGGAAAGGGAAACCGGCCTTGTTGCGGAGAAACACTGTGGATGATAAGAATGAATTAATTGCTTGCATAGAAAATGGCAACTTTGCCAAAGCTGCACGAATTGCCGCAGGTAAGGTCGATTTGGAGCGTGTTAAATGCTTGTTGATGGCAAAAAAAAAAATACATATCGATATTATTTTAGGGAAAACATGGCTGACATTATTTTGCTATTTGTGGCAATCTATAAATGGCTTCAAGAATGTTAACATTTCCAAGTTAAACTGAATTAAACAGTGCAGACAACACCTGGACTTCGTACGCATGTAGGACAGAGATTTGGACATTCTCAACGGCTTCCGCAGCCAACGTCTTGCGGCAATTGGCACTGTCCGCCTGTTCCGGTGGCATCCAACAAGTCAACATCTGGACCAATCCTCATTTAAAAACTCATATTTGGCACACGAAGTGAAGAAAAATATGGCTCGTGAAGTGTAATAACTGTTGTTGAACGTGAATTTCCTGCCCCTGACCTTCTCTGTGCCCCTGCTGTGGCTGTGTGTGTGTGTGTTTTTTTTTTAACCCACCTGTATCCTGTTTGGTGTTGTGTTCCCGCTTCCGTAGAGGTTGGCAACAGCAATATTTGGATGCCCGCTAGTGCTGCAACAGTTGCACTGGAACCCCTAAAGCTAGTTTGGGCCAAATGTAGTGGCTACCCTTCCTACCCTGCCTTGGTGAGTGTTTTGCCGCACGGAAAGCTGATAATAACCTTCATACAATTTTCTCCATGTTTTTATTTTTGTTGTTCTTCAGGAAAAAACTTGAATAAGATGGAAGCCCAACCATTGTGTCAGGGCACATTCATGTACAGTGGAACCTCGTGCTACGAACCGAATGTGCACGTAACGCCACATGTTCAGAAACCGAAATACTGTTTGCCATTGAAATGGGTGTAAATGCAATTAATCTGATACAGGGTTGTTCGTAACTCAAGGTTCCACTTGGGTTTCCATTCATACAACAGAGTAAAAGCTTTGTGTTGCGCCCAGATTTTACCAAAGGCATTTGTGGGTAAATTGAGACAAGGTCATGTTCAATTCCAGTACTGATGTATATAAATATGTGGGCAGTGGTGTGGCAGGAGATTTTTTTTTCTCCCTGAAACATGTGCCATGGCTCAGTAAAGATTGGGGAAACTCTGAAACGGCCGCCGACGGAGCTCGTCATGGGTTGAGTTGCGTTGCACCACTTGGTCCTCTAGGTGGCAGCCTTTAACCGCTGGCCATTGACTTGATCTTTGCATGCTGCATTGAAATCAGTGAAGTAAATGTATGCCATGTGAAGTTTCATTCATGTATTCAAATCCCCCTCCCTCCCTCCCTCCCGCCGGCGCCGCGCAGATCATCGACCCCCACATGCCGCGCGTGGGCTGCCAGCACAACGGGGTGTCCATCCCCATGCCCCCCATGGACGTGCTCCGCATCGGAGAACAAATGCAGTACAAAGCCGACGAGAAACTCTACCTCGTGCTCTTCTTCGACACCAAGCGCAGCTGGTGAGTGTCGACGGCGGTTTTACGCATCGGAGCAGAACGCCACCAGCGGGCCTGATCGTTAGCTGTCCGCAGACGTCACATCGCGCTTCCCTCGAGAGGCTCGTGGAGATTTTGCGAAAATGAGCACACCCGCAGGATGCACACTTCAGCTCGTCATCGAGTTTCGATTTGATCGGCTGAGCACTATTCAGAGGGTTAACATACGCTTGAATAGCTCACCTCTTTTTTTGCGCTCAAAGATTATTTGTCCAAGTTGTTGAGCAGTAGTCGATATGAAATATAATGAGGGGTGATCTTATGAAATAATGCGTTTCCTCCTCCCTCCCAGGCAGTGGCTTCCTAGATCCAAGATGGTTCCCCTGGGCATGGACAAGACCATCGACAAGATCAAGATGATGGAAGGCCGCACGTCCAGCGTCCGCAAGGCGGTCCAGGTGGCCTACAGCCGCGCCATGAACCACCTGAGCATCGTGCGGGACGAGCCGGTCAGCGACCTGAGCGACGTGGACTGACGGGCTTCTCACCAATTCGCACCTCTTCACGTACCTCTGTCGGAGACAGTGACTTTTAGCGGGCCGCCACTGCGTTTCCCGCTCGTACACACTCCTCGAACATGCTGCTTGAATGAATGTCATCCCCCCTCCCCCCAAACACACCCACAGCCGCCACTCATTCTCCAGCTGTAAGTTTGCTGAAAAGACCGTCGCCTCTGTCCTCACCACCTGGAACGTTTTTCCCTCAAAACATTTCAAGATTATTTTAGTTTGGCTGTGGCTCACATTTCTTTTTTTTTTTTCCTGCCCACACGTCAGCAACATTCCTATCACGGTCACTTTCGCATTATGAAATCATCTCTATTTGCAAACACCTGTCTTTGTATTTAAACTGTAAATGTGTAAAGTTGCTCAACACTAACTTATTTGGTAGTTTTGACCGACATGACTTTGCTTTGTATTTATATTTGGTGCATTTGTGGCGCTATGGCGTAACCAAGAAGGGGAGGGGGGGGGAGTGCAAAAAGCCTTATTGTTAAACAGGTTAGGGCCAAACCACCGTGTATGAAAGTATTCTTTGTTCTGTTTTAAATTATTGACCTTGGCCTCTAATTGGTATTAATCATTTTGTATGAAATAGTTTTAGTCTATTTTTGTTCCAATACAGTATATTTATATGGTTTGAATACAACATTGTGTCTGATTTTGTGGACAAATGAACCAAAAACTTTGCTATTCAGATTTTTTTTTTTGTGTGTGTTGCAGGTTTTCGGTGGGATGTGTGAAATAGTTGCCAAAAGAGTACTTTTTATGCGACACATTTGATGAAATACGTGCCTGCACTAACTTGCTCTCATGTATTTTCATGACTTTATATTCTAGGAATGACATGGAAATTGTCCCAGTGGCACATTTTGTGATGGATTCTTTTCAATTATGATTTTCTAACCTTTTTTTTTTGTAGCTGTCAGATTACAGATGTTTTTTTTTTCCTTCTGGGTAGCATTGGTTATGCTAATTTCATTTTGCATTTAACCTTTGTTTTTATCGAATCAACACAAAATGCAAAAAAATAAAGAAATAAAATATACAAATATGAACACGACTACACGAATTGGAACGTCTAAATCTCAAGTGTTTCATGTACCGCAGAGCTCAGATGAAGGACATGAAACTTGATGGAAGGCTCCTGTATTAATCATGAGGACTTCTGAGGCTCTGTGGGGGGCTTTCTTATGCTCAAGAAGAAAAATATGACAGCTCCAGACTTTCTTCTCAAGTAGCACTTGAAACATACTCCTTTAGCCAGGTAGGTCTAGCAATAATTGGGTTCATTTTATAATTTAATTTGGCTGCCTGTGCATATGGATTTTTTTTGTAATCCCGTAAAATGATACAAATGGTGCCCGCAATAAAATTAATCTAACGTTTTTAAATATACATGAGGCCTTGAGCATAACATTTTTCATGTGAAAAGAAAACGAGTGGCATTTCATGTGTTTGTTATCACGGGTACGTTTATTTGGAAAATTGTTCAAGTCAGTTTGTGGGTTGATATCAATTGAGAAAAGCTACACAATTTTATATTGTATTTTATTTTATTTTTTTTTAGAATTGTTGTAGTTGTGCTAACATTTTCAACAGGATAACGTCACAAAACTTGGTGCTTGGGAAACGCCCCCGTTGTGGAGTACTGTAGTTCCCAGGTATACCACCAAGTGGCGCTGTGGCCCCGTGAAACCATTTTCCTGCGGAACGTCGTTTGTTTCCATTGCACACCTGATTTGGCCAAACATCAGCTCTTCGCCCATTTGGAAGGTAGGGCACGTCACTGCAGATAATACGTATTTATGTTCATATTTCAAGTCTACTTATTAGTGTAAATATACACGAATACCTTGAAACTAATTGGAAACACCTTGGTTTTGCTTGTCACACCCGAGGCGTTTCTTTGTTTCGGGGCTCAAACGTCATTCACTTTTTTTCGTTCCAGTCACGTCCGAGATTCAAATGCCACCTTAAATTGATGAAACACGCATTTTTATTTTGCATTCGAGCCAATCCGGCGTTTGTTATTTTGAGCCGCAGGCACTTTGTGAAGGGAAAAGTGGCATCATGGGGATTCAACGAGCGAGTAATGGCCCTTCGGTATTAGGGGAGCCACCTTGAAGACGTTTGAAAGACGTCCGTCTCCCGTCTTCATAAACAATTGCAGCTAATCAAGCCACGCACTCCTAGTGTCGTCTCTCCTCGCTGTCTGTCTTCACCTGAGACTAATTGTGCAGGGAGATAAACACGGCAGCCAAGTGGAGAGGAAGCTGAATTGAGCTTGAATATCAATCTCTCTGCGTCGGTGTCATTGCCAGGTGACTTTGGCTGGAGTGGAGGTGCCTCACTAAGGTTCGACGTCCAGGTCCCCCAAAACATCCTGGAAGGCCCTCACCTCCAAAAGACCTCACCTCCAAACATACAGACTGGGCCAAATGTATGTATACACGTACGAACAATTCAGCACATGTATTAAAGGGAGTTGAATTGTTTGCAGAGATGGCCCCCCACTTGTGTTTTCTTATCATCCTTTTTTGCCTGCCTTCCTTTTGTCCATCCTACCAAACCAGCACCCAGTCACCCCTCCTTCCTTCCTACCTCCCGTTCATATTATCCTTGGTTCATTTCCATCCTCCTGTTCCTTCCACTGTGGTTGAGAGGAAACACATTTCATCTGTGCTGTATGTTGCACATAGAATATTTGAAAATAAGGTTGACTTGACTTTCCTCTGTCCTTTGGTATCACCCCCCCCCCCATTTTCCTTTCATTCTTCCTTTCACGGCATTCTTTTTCCATTCCTTCCTTCCATCCAGACACCCTTCCATCAGTCTCTTCCACTAAATCGGAAGTTTTTCTTTACAAGAATGTGTTCGATGCAACCCCACTAGTCTTAACACGGCATTCTGATTAATATTGCATATGTGTAAAATAAGTGAACACAGTTTTTTTTTTTGGTCTCAGGCGGTAGCCATTTTGCCACTTTCTGTTAACTGAAAATGACTTCACCGTTGGCCAGGGCAATGACAAATCATGGCTCAGCTTCAGCGGCGGTGATTGGTTGTTACCTGAGCCAGCAACTGTGATGTTACTTTCAGCCGACAGAAAGTGGCAAAATGGCCGCCCGCAGAGGTGGTGAAAAAGGGGTGCATTTTGCTGCTTCGTTCATATTCCACAAAGGCAATGCGAGTCAGCATGCCTTGTTTCGGAAAGTGGAGGTGCATGGAACATATTATCGCAAAGAAAGTTTGTGGGGTTGACTTGTCCACACAGGTATGTTCCCACTTCAAGCCCCACATGCACTACTTCTGATGGAATACAAACTCTCTGGACAGTATATGTCCCTCCATGTCAGTCTGCGGCCGGCAAAACTGGCGCAGTGGGTGTCAAACCTTTCAGCACACACCAATAAAGAACCCTTCTGCACGCAAGCCTGAAAATAAGAAATCATGTGTGCATAATAAGCCTCACATGCTGTGCTGCTAAAGGCCTCTTTTCAACATTGTGTCCTCTTTCTGTGGCTCACTTGCTGTCGGGTGCTTGTTTATGTCTAAAAGACAAAATACAGAATTAGTATATACTGCTTGAGTCCCTCATAAATGCTGAATTAAGTTTTCCCTGCCAATTGTATTCAATTTTTTTTTGTGTGTGTGTTTACAGAGAGAAGGCGTGGTTTGGACGGACACTGATGCACAGGTAAGGGTTGAATTTTTTAATGATGATTTTGACAAACATTGTATGATGATGTGCCTTGCTATATGGATCTTATTGCACTAAAAGCGCCTTCTCATCAGTCAAAGTGGGCTTCAGGGAGGGAAACTTACGTACTGATAAAATGAACCTCTGATGTGTAATGGCATCTCGCTCAAAAAGAAACCGTACCAAGTTGAAAGATTATTTATTCATTAAAAATATATATCCTTTAATGTACTTTCAACCGTTTCTCGGAAGCGTTGGCTCCATTCTGGCTGGCGTCGCCTGTTTGTTCATGCAAAATGGCTTCACTTTTTAATTTCGAGTGGAAGAAAAAGCCTCAAACCTTGCAAAAAAAAAAAAAAAAAAAAGAAAAAAACTGCTGAGGCTCGTTTGTGCCTGAACGTTGGCACCGTGTGGGGTGACTCGTGAAGGAAACGCACTCTGAAACTTGGCCTGCTCCTTCTGCATTAAACATCACGCAAAACCATCCACTTTCCATTTTGGAACATGCACAAAAATATTATCCTCCGCCACTCGCTCCCAGCTCCTTTCCTCCTTTTTTTTTTTTTTTTTTGTACCCCCACCTCCCGCCGCCTCTTTCTGCGAGTCCCTGATAGGTCCAATCTCCAGTGGCTATGTTCAAAACACTGGGCCAGAATAGCACAAGCCCTGGGTAGATAAATATTTATGGGGTGCGCATACGTCTTACCACAGAGGAGAAGTAGAAATAGTGCGTTTCCAAGGTGAGCAAAACAAACAACTTCAAAAGAATTTAAATGCAAGTCATGTAAATTTACCCCCCTCCCCATCCCCCCTCCCCTCGCAGTTGCACGCTTTCCGCGGAGCTTGCGATGATGACCTGATTATTGTGTCTTTGCACCGACTGAAAAAGCGAAAAAAAAAAAAAACGCTCGGGAAGGTGTTGCCTCAGGCAATTCTGGGCGCCAATCAAGTCGGCGGCTCCATTATTCATTGATCAGCGTGCACCGTGATCAGAAGCGGCCCTGCTAAATGGGGGAGATGTAAGCTCGGCTCGGATGAAATCACAGAGGGGGGCGCGGGGGGGAAATATAGCCAATGGCCCCCCGGGGTGTCATTTATTTGCCGCTAATTTGTAAGCAACTTGGTCAAGGCGGCTTAGCGGCTCATTTTGGCGATCAAAGCAACTAAATGCTCATTAAAGTCATTCTGTTTGCGCAAATATGCGCTCATGGTTTGGCGTTTTAAGTTGTGCGACTGGTGGAGACTCTCGGTTGCTCTTTCGCGCGAAGAATAATTCATTCGAGGTCATTTTAATAGCCGTCAGCCGTGTGGGTCTTTCTCTTTAAGCTCGACTCTGATAAGATCCACGCCCCCCCCTAATTTGAGGTACATGTCGTGTTTTTGAAGCCGGGATAAGCACATTGTCAACAGAGCAGGGTATTTTCTTATAGTTGCATTTGCGTCGGAGCACTCGTAAGTACTGTCGAGTCAAGTTTGAATATACCCCGAGTGACTAAACACATCTTGACTCTCATGGAAAAAAAAAAAAAAGAGACTCCCCACCATGCCCCGGCGCTCATCACCATTCCGCCGCATCCCAAGGACACTGTTGTGATTGACGGGGCTTAATGTGTATCTTGCCAGAATTGGATTTGATCCTGGGGGCTCTGCCACAGGCCCCTATGTTAGATTTACACCCCCACCCCACCTCCTCCCATCGCCCCCGCTCGCAGCTCCTATCTTTTCCCCTCCCCTTTTCTCTGTCGAACAAATAGAAACAGAATTACCTCTTCTCTGGAGCCGCTCCCGCAAGCCCGGCTCGCTGCATTGTAGCGAGATCATGCGCGGATCTGTGTCGCCAAAAATGATTGCGCTTGGCCCGCCTGTGTTTTTCCAAGGGGAAGTGTAGGAGAGGATTTGTGCAAAGAAGCCGCGAAGGCGGGCAGGTGTTGACTGCGTACGCCAGCTTTGACGAGCGCGTGTTCACTTTTCGTGGAATGCGCGGGTGGCTTTTGCGCCGCGCGTGCCTCAACTGTCCGCAGGGCCCACGAGAAGGAGGCGAAGGGGGTTGCGAAGGTTAATTCGACGGGAATTTTTTTTTTTCCCGTCGAATTATATCTCATTTAAAAAAAAAAAAAAAAGTATTTATATCAGTCAAGCATCTTAGCACGTCGGCCCAGTCTTGTCATTGTCAATAATAGTTCATAAAAGACTCGTATCGAGCCGGAGACGCCACGTTGTGCAACTCATCGATTCCACACGAGTCACCCCAAGTCTCAGTCATCAATCGATCGAATCCGTCAACGGTTTAGGCTCGTGCTTTGTCTTCCACGCGCTCAAGTAAGACCGTCAGAAATGCCACACCGCCGCCGCCGCGTGCTCGCGTCAACATCGACCAGCCTTTCTACATCAAGGGCCTGATCAATGGCAGCTTGGGATAACGCCGACGTTAGCCGTCAGCAATCTACGTAAAGAGACGGCTTCCCGTACCGCCATCAATTCCCGAGGCCACGCCGTAAAGATCCCCGACGGCTCGCCGCGACGCCGTTTAACATCCTCGCCCCTCTTCTCCTTGGCCTTTAGATAGCGGACTTGTCTGGTACAGATCTGCGGCGGTAACATCCTTTAAAACAAGCCCCGAGCCCGCCGCCGCCGCCGTCCCGGCGTATTCATCTGGTGGCGGCCTGACATTACCGCCGCGTCCCGCCTTATCTCTCGCTCGCGGCCAGGGAAGCAAATGCAAGATAGATTCCTATTTCGCCCGAGAGGGGAAACAATGGCCTTCTATCTTGCTTGTGTCCACAAGTGTACATGGGCGGCAGCGCATCTATACACACACACACTCACGCACGCACACAACAGGACAGGCGAGACGTGTTGTTTGGAAATAGCAGGGCATTACCTTGAGCTATGTACTGTATCCTCGCCAGACACTTTATTCGATACGCACTGCGATGAGATCCGACACAAGAACATTTGTAGCAAGTTCTTCTTTTTAACAATAAAGTTTGCAAGGCTTTAAGTGTCCAAGGTCTCTCTCTCTCTCTCTCTCTCTCTCTCTCTCTCTCTCTCTCTCTCTCTCTCTCGCTCTCTCGCTCTCTCGCTCTCTCTCTCTCTCTCGCCCTCTCTCTCGCTCTCTCTCTCTTGCTCTCGCTCTCTCTCTCTCTCTCTCTTCCAATGGGAACGCCTCAGATGTTTGATGATCCATCAAAATTTACGGTGAAATATTATCCCGGAGCCTTGCGCTGACAAGACGCCCTTGAACTTGACCCTAGACGTAACTGTCAGATTCAGGGCCGCGTTCCGCAACCGGTAAAGCGTCGACTTCGCGGCGGACTAAAACAAGATGCTTCTTGCGTCCTCTTGTGTCTACCCCAAAAGAACGAGACGGGAGCGATCGAGGCTGACCTCCGAGCGTACATTGCGAGGAATACTCTGTAGTCCCCACCGGCCCCCCACTCCGTGTCCCGCTCAACTAAAAACACAGCCGCAGCCGCCGGAGCCAAAAGAGCAGTTCAATTAAACGTGTCAGCTTTTTAATGGAGTTCATTTGCTTTGGTGTGTTTACCCGTTAATGTCGGCCGCAATTTCATCTGCATACCGCGTGTGTGGAGGCCTTCTCTTTCCAATTTAAGAGTCCTTGAAAGTGAGGAAGCAAACCGCTTCTGCCAGGAAATCCATATTTGGGTAAAAGTAGCACGACAATGCAGTCAGTCGCTAAAAAAAAAAAAAAAAAAAAAAAATTGGAACTCAATGTTGATTCTTTTCAGCGTCAAAGCTCCTTAACACTTCCAGAGGCCGGATTAAGTCGGAAGAAAGCGGCGTATAGAGATGAAAGCCTGCGTGACCCGTAGGTGTCTCTTCAGGATCTTCCCGGTTTGGTAAATTGGTTCTCGCTGGGTCACGCTGCGACACGAAGGACCAGCTACTCCAAGCTAATGAGACGGTCTCGGTTATTTGATTCAACGTGTTCAAATGTTTCCGTTTGAAGTGTTTGTATTATAGGACGAAGCGCTCTTTAAAGGGTAGCAATTTGTCGTCTCTCGATATCCAGTTAGCAGACTCCGATTGAGGAGCTGTCGGCAGTCGGAGAGTCTGCTGATGCAGGGGCAAGAAAAAGGGCTCTCTGAAATTAGCAATTCTACAATTTAAACATTTTTTTTTTTTTTTTTATAGCCCATGCCCAACTCCTCTCCTATTTCTTTTCATTTCAGACTCTGTCTGCTCGAATGCACACCCAAGATCAAACAGACCTGCCCACCAAAGCAAAGTGAGCACCCGGATAAGGGCGAAAGGTAAGGCAATTTTATTCAGATCGCGCCTTTCATATACAAGTTAGCACAACATTTAATAAAAAAAAAAAAAAATTGAAAGACATTTAAAAATGAAGACATAAAAAGTAGCTTATTCCCCTTTATAAAAGAACCAACAATGCGCGGACATGATTTTCAAAATATGATTTTTTTTTAAAAAAAATGCTTTGAATGAAAAAATAATAAATAAATAAATCATAATTTTCAACCTGGATTGAAAAAAATTCCACTTGGGGCTGACTCCACTGACGCTGCCAGCTGATTCCATTTGCCTGCAGCATCACGGCTAAATGCCGCTTCACCATGTTGGGGGTGACATGCTTCGTAAAGGACCGCAGCAGCTGCGCGCACGTCGGTCCGCCTCAAATGGAACTTTTCGTAGTGGGTGGGGGAGGGGGTTCGCAATCTCACCAAAAAAAAACAAAACAAAACAAAAAAAAAAACAAAAACAGTCTGCCATTTCCGTTGATAAAATGTTATTTTATCGTTGAGAGGGTAAGCAATCTCACCAAAAAAAAACCAAAAAAAAAAAAAACAGTGCCATTTCCGTTGATAAAATGTTATTTTATCGTTGCCGGATCTTTTCATTTCCAAACCAAACAGCACAGCTGCTGCGTGGTACCAAATGTCCCCCCCCCGACGTCACAATCAACCTGTGAAAGTCGTCCCTGCCAGCAATGGTTTTATTGTTCACTTTGTAATTTGGAGAATGACACTTGTTTTGAAGAAAAAAAAAAAAAAAAGATTGAATTTGACACCTCAAAGCTGTGACAACAGGATTTAATTTTTCTTCTTTCTTTTCCGCCCAGTATTTCTCACAAACACCACCGCTGGCTCTGAGAGTGTAACTCGCGCCTCATGACACCGCGTCACTTGTGATGAATTAACAAGAAGTGATGTGAAGGTTTTGCGAAATATTTGATGCACTTTCGTTGACTTGCCCAGCCGAAGATTTTCATTGATTGGGTTCCCTCACGTGTGAGGCCCAAAATGTACCAATTTGACATTCGACAGTGTTTGGCTTTTTATTACATTGCAACATATCACATTACAGTGTGTGCGTGTGTGTATACTTGGTTGATGTATCACCCAGTGTAGCCACAAAATAATGAACAACACACGAAAGCGCTTACAAACCCTTCTGCCCAAACTGTGGCTCACGTTTTTTTTTTTTTTTTTTTATCTCACAAAAGTGAAATCAATTAAAGTCTGATGTTTGTATCACCTTGTTTCTCTCTCGCGCCCCTGGCAGAAAAGAGGGCCCGGTTGGAGCAGAAGAGAGACGCCGGCCGGCGCTGCTCTGCAGTCGAGAGGCGGGAGCGAAAAGGTCTGCTGAAGGTCAGTTCCAATGCAGAGAAGCAGCCGTTGCTTTCCCCTTGTTTGCCTGGAAAATAAGTTGAATCAACGAGGCGAATTTGAGAGAAATTGGATCAAGCCCACCGGGGGCGGCCGCAGTATGAATTCCATATTCCTTTGGTTGTCATGTAATTCGGAAGTACTTTGGATCAGCCCCACCTGTGGAAGAAGAAAAGCAAAAAGGGTATTTCCCTTTTTTTTTTTCCCTCTTCCTCCTCACCGAAGCAGACTTTTGGCGTGACAGCAGTACGACCGCTAAGAGATGGGAAGAGACAGGCGAGGGGTGGAGCAGCGGGAAAGAATAAAGTGAAAAGAGTTAGCCGCTCACAACGCCACCTGTGAACCGACGTGAAACTAAACCCTCTCATTCCCAATCGGCTCCTCATCCCCTGTTTGGAAGCTCCTGGGAGGCCGCCCGGATTGGCTCGGCGCCCCCGAGACTCAAAGCTATTTCGCCTGCTTTCCGGGTGGGCCCAAAGTGATAGAAAAGGCGTCATTTGCTTTGATTGGACCCCTCGCACAAAGCAATCTCCCCGCTGTTATTTAAGTCCGGACGGCAAAACAACAAATCCGCGGCTGCCATGGATCTCCTTTATTTATTCTAGTGTGCCTTTCGATATCCGCTCTTTTAAGCGACGTCGCTGGAAGTATTTTAAAATATCGAAGCCAACATGACAGCCCCCAACCCACTCACAAATTATTTAAAAATATCAGAGGGGGAAAAAAATGGGAGGCGTCACACAACGTCCCCGGTGTGAACAAAATAGTTTTTGCTGTCATGTCTTCTTTTGCGCATCCAGTCATGAACGTCATTGATCGACGGGCAAATTATGACATGACAACCGATCATGAAGGATTCATAGAAATGCAAAACACCTGCCGATCCGATCTGTGTGAAATCGAATCGTAAGTCTGATTTTGTGTGTTGCAAGACAGATTAATTTATTGCTAGTGTCCAAAAAAAATACTTGGGAAGTAAAAAAAAATAATTGCATTTTGAATTGCAGTCCCAATATTGAGGGGGGAAATTGGCAATCAGATTACACTGGTGGTCCACAACACTTTTTTTTGGCTTTATGGGCTTCTGTTATATTTTCATGTTTTTTCAATTTGACCTATAAATGGTGATGCCGTACAGATTTTCCCATGTGGAGTTATCACTGTGACGTTTCATTGAGAAAAAAAAAAAATACACCTGTTGGTAAATTGAAACGTTCATTCAAAAATATACTACACGTGCGTCTGGAAAGAAAAAAAAAAAAAAATTACATATTTTTTTTGCAGAATCATGCAGCCTGACTAGTTTTCTCCTCACGACCGACCAAACAATAGCTCAATGCGTTTGTGCTTTGTGTAGATAATAATAAACCCTTGTTACTGATTTGACAGAACAATGCTCTGATTTCTATTCCCGCTGCTCGTATATCTGGGTTGATATGATCCAAGGATATGAAACCAGGGAGCGTCTAGGAATAGCATGGAAGGAGGGAAAAAAAAAAAAAAACCCAACTCTCTCAAAATAGGGAGCTTCATTATAGCATCCGTCCCTCGCCTGCTGTTAATCAAATCTTTGTGGTGGCTTGTGAATCGCGCTTTTCCGCCACAAATTTGAAAAAAAAATAAAATAAAGAGGCAAGCGAAAAAGGCCCTCGCGCTTTGCTTTATGCAGACAAGGTGTCAGCTTGATAACACAGTTTTAGTTTGTTTTCTTGTCTTTTTTTTTTCTTTTTTTTTCCAAGCGACTTTGCCTGTCTTCAGCTCACAAGCGCTTTATTGTCAGAAAGTAATTTGGTATCCTGGCGGAAAAGCAACAGTGAGCGCGAGCGAGGTTTGATGCTCGCTCCCTTCCCACACACACAAAAAAAAAAAGCCTCCCTGTCACGCTTTTTGCAACCGACACAAACACTTTCATCACTTCCCCCGGCGTCGTGTAAAGCAGCCGATCCCGATCACTCTTGTTTGTCTCCGCCTTCAAGATGTGCTTTCATACAATTGCCACTATTTGGGCGGCTTTATTTGCATTCTTTCGCCACTACTTTTATAATGAGTCAGTACACACCCTTTCGTCGCGTTTCATACACGTCTTTACGTTTGCGTTTCGACCAAGGTTGTCGTTGTTCATAAAATGTAACAAAATAACTAAGATTGAAATTGAAAACATATTTTCGTAAATGCAACAAAATTGATTAAAAAAAAGTTAACTAAAAGTCAAAAAACTAACTGTATAAAAACTTCATTTCGTCTTTCGGGATTTATTTCAAATGTCTTTATTTTGGTATTCGGCTTTATAGAAGAAAGAAGTTTGAGCAGTCGTTGTAGACTACTTAATTAGCTTAATCTCCAAAAAAGGCTCCGTATGTATTTAAAATAATAATAAAATAAAAACTAATACTAAAACTAATCAATAAAATAAAAACTAAGACTAAAACTAATCACTAAACTCAAACAAATCATTAAAAAATGTAAATATAAACCAATAAAAAAAACACTAAACCATGCCAAGAAAAATGAATTAAAATAGGAAAAAAAAAGTCAAAGCGAAATTTAAAAAAAAAAAAAAAAAAAAAACGATTTGTACCCCTGGTTTACACTTAGCCGGCGATCGGACTTAGTACCACCAGCTGTCCCATTTCCCCTTGCGTTTTGTTCGAAGAGGAGGTGCAGAGAAGAAACGGGGCAAAGCCATCATCGAGCCGCAGCTCTAATTACTTCCACGCTCCTCCCTCGTCTCTTTGATGGATTCTCAAGAGCCAAAAGTGGTGGATCAGCACTTTCCATCCCTCCTACATTCTCTTACGTTCCCTCCCCCTTTCTCCGGCTCCTTTGTCAGGACAGGGCTTGTGTTATTAACCTTCCGTCTGCTCATGCAAATACAGCGCCGTAGTCCTTGCCCTCACTCGCCGCGAGCCCGTCGCCGACAGTTGAGCTCTTATTTCTGCTCCGAGTTATCCCGCGGCGTTTGTCAAAGGTCGAAAGCGAGGGAAAGGAAAAAAAAAGAAAAATTCAAACAGGGGGCCGCCGCGGCTGAAAACAGAACGATTGACTGGCCGCTGTGCTTCATTTATTGTCGGATTTCACTGGAGGATAAGGGAGAAAATGGAAAAAGGCCGAAAGAGAAAAGAAGTGTTTGGAAAGAACAAAATGGAGACAGAGTGGACTTGATGATGGAGTGTCGATGGCGTCTGTCTGCGCGGTCCGCCGCCGAACGAAAAAGGGGTCACGGGTGCACTTAGTTTTGATGGATAGGGGCCTTCACCCCAAAGTCTTGCTCCACATCCTCGTCGTCAAGGCCACTGAGCACCTCTCGACGGGCACCGGCGCCGGGGCGGGGGAAGCGTAATAATCACCCGATGCGAGTCGAGCGCGAACCGACATCTTTCCATGCCGCCGTCCCGGCCGATCAACGGAACGGCCGGTGGCGAGAGGACTCGCTCATTAGCCTCCCCCTCCTCCCCCTTTTGCGTGACCGATGATGAGGGCTCAAAATCCATATTCATACCCGGCGTGTAAAAAAAAAAAATGACAGCTGCGCTTTCAAGTGTTAGCGTGTCGCTTGTAACGGCGGACACGATGAGATACGCGGTCGTTAAAAAGGCTTGCGTTGACGCACTTGCTGCGCTTGAAATGCCGCATACGTCGTGCGCAAATGTAAAGTGTCATTCCCATCTCTCTGGCCACACATGGCGCAATTAAGATATCTGTTTACTTCAATATTTCATATGCTGTGCCTTTTACACTGCATTTTGATCCCCTCTGGCCCCCTTAAAAAAAAATAATAATAAATAAATAAAAATATATATCCTGGTGCACTACTCAGAAGACTGCACAGAAGCTTTTCCCAGCATGCTTCTTTGCCATAACACCCGCGACCGTGTTGCGCTTGCAGTTCTAATACAAGTCGTAACATTGGCAATTTTGGCTCTGATTTTTGGTTTAAAAAAAAAAAAAAAGCTCTTTGAAGGACACATAAAAGCTGCGTTTTACAACTGGGGTGAACATCTCTGTCAGATACGTTAAGGCGGGCTTTACAAACCACTGTTCTCCCGTGGCTAAAACATTGTTGCTATGGTTTCAGCCCTGACTTTTTTTTTTTTTTTTTTGAAATACATGCCAGTAATTTGCAGCAGAGTGCTTTAGCTCCCCGATTAGCCCACGTCCTGTTTGCACTGAGGAGCCATCACTTACCAAGTGGATGTCCTTTTTCCACTTGTATTTATTTATCCCCCCTCTTCGATATAAAAGCCGTGTGTCAGAAGTGCCGGTCAGATGGACAAAACGCAGGACTTTCTAAATAGAGAGAACACATGCGGAGGGAGGCAAGACGCCGGCGTGCACACACACACACACATCGTGTAGTCACACTGTGGATTACCAGTGGCCCCAAGGGGGGGAAGCAGTAAAAAGATGAATACATCCAACCGAGCTTTCCTTCTTGTGCCGTCACAGTGAAAGGTGGAGCACATCCACTCGGCGATATCATCTCGTTGCCATCGCTGGCTTTTCATCGAAACACCCCGAGGTGCTGTCAGCCCTTCTCCCATTGGGCAATTTGACGAGTTGTCATAGGAACGCCGCCGAGCCGCGCGTTTGCGTGCGCCGGGAGAGAGAGGAGGCGATAAAAGAGAATGTTTAACAGTCTATAGAGTAAATGAGCCACTTCACCTTTGGACACTATCAAGGCAGTTGCTTGCATTCTTGACATATTCTATTTTTAGATTAAAGTCAATCAAAATATATATACTTATATATTTTTGTTCTGGAAGTCACTGCTAGGCACCTTCCCATCCTCAACTTCCTGCCGTCGTCCGTTCACTTCACGTCGTATTTGGATCAGGTGGCGCATTTATTTCCATGAGGAATGCCCGATTCTTATCAAACACATGCTCTGCTGCAATTCGTCATTAACAGGAAGAGAAGGGGGGTAGGAGAAAAAAAAAAGTTTCTTGGCACCGGCCTATTATTTCCAATTTCTCCAGGAGAAA